GAAGGCTGTGCAGAAGGATCTGGACTGGCTGGATCGATGGGCCGAGACCAGTGGTATGAGGTTCAAGAAGGCCAAGTGCCAGGTCCAACCCCCGGCAGCAGTACAGGCTGGGGAAGAGTGGCTGGAAAGCAGCCCAGCAGAAAAGGACCTGGGCGTTCTGGTCAACAGGCTGAACATGAGCCAACAGTGTGTCCAGGTGTCCAAGAAGGCCAATGGCAACTTGGCCTGTATTACCCATAGTGTGGCCAGCAGGACCAGGGCAGTGACTGTCCTCCTTTACTGGGCACTGGTGAGGCCACACCTCAAGTGCTGCGTCCAGTTCTGGGCCCTCACTGTGAGAAAGACATTGAGGGGCTGGAACGTGTCCAGAGAAGGGCAATAGAGTTGGCAATAGATGTGGAGCACAAGTACTATGAGAAGCAGCTGAGAGAGCTGGGGATGTTTAGCCTGGAGAAAAGGAGGCTCAGGGGAGACCTTATCACTCTCTATGACTGCCTGAAAGGAGTTTGTGTCATGGTGAGTGTCGGTCTCTTCTCCCAATTAACAAACAATAAGTTGAGGAAATGGCCTCGAGTTGCATCAGAGGAGATTTAGACTGGATATTAGGAACAATTTCTTCAAGGAAAGGGTTGTCAAGCACTGGAATCAGCTGCCTGGGGAATTGCTTGAGTCAACCCCCTGGAGATGGTTAAAAGATGCGTAGATATGGCACTCAGGGACATGATTTAGTGGTGGACTTGGCAGTGCTGGGTTTACAGTTGGACTCCATGATCTTAGAGATCTTCTCCAACCTTAACAATTCTATTAATCTATGAATTAAAAAATTAATCAAAGAAAAGTAATAATAACATTTTTTTACTATCATAACATTAAATATTCGTTTATTGGAGAGAAGCATTAGAGAATCATAAATTTTGAAAAGATCTTTGAAACTGATGTCTCTGATTATATTTTATTTGCCAAAATCAGCAACCACATCTAGGCCAAAATCTTACACTATGAAAAAGGAATTAGGAGATTTTCACTGCTAATCTGAACAGAACCATCAGCTTCCACAAAGGTCTTTTCAAGGTATCTTCCGCTATGAACTTGGAATAGTCATAAATACATTGGAGGACTGAATAAGAACCCAAAAAACCATTGAGAAATTAGAGAAATTATAAAATAAACAAGAGGCCCCCTAACTGGGACACATGCAAAGTAAAACATTTAATTGGGAATAGTCAAATTCCCTGCTATGGAAAGAGGAATGATAGCTTTAATTTCTCCCATGTATCTAAGGGTTGTGCATCACAGCTCAAACATGAATCATTATTATTCTATACTGTAAAACAAAGGAAAGTATATGTAAATGTATGAGTGTGCATATATTTTTTGCTGGAAATATGAAATTATCTTTCTTGTATCAAAATTGTATCAATAGGAACATTATAGCTATGCTGTAGGCACAAACAACAGGACTTTTTAAAGGTCTAGAAAACCAGAAAGCTTTAATGAAAGCATTGAAAAACTGGACTTGTTTAGAGACCAGAAGTCAGTAAGTTAATAGGCAGGTGTGATAATAATTCCTGAATATATAGAAGGTTACTACAAACTAAAAAGTACAAGTAATGTCTTTTTCGTGTTAGTTCACAATTTAAGGAAAAATTAGTTTGCTCAAATTACAACAAGGCCTTTAAATTGGATACTAAAAACCTTTCTAATTTAGGTAGTGGAACAGGTTACTCAAAAGGTTAAAGTCTTACTTTTTGAAGTTATGTGAGAACAACCATCTGTCAAGAATAGCCTTCCCAAAGCCAGTGGAGTACCCACAGAGGTCTGGCAACCCTTCAGTCGTGTCATCTATGACTGCACATAGGTTCTTACCTCCAAGCCTGCAGCACTTGCAGAATATGAAGTTTTACAGTTAATCTTAAAATCCCATGGAAATTATACATTTTATTGGAGTAGTATAGGAGTCCAATCATGGCCCATGACTCTACTCCATAAACATTGAGGGAAATACAAATGTTTTTGTGCCCTCAAAAAAGTCAGAGTCATTAGATGGTGAAAACATTGTGGGTTTAAGCTTCATACTACGTCTCCATTTCCTTTTTTAATATATTCCTGCTGAATTTAATAATGTTTTAAGAATAATTAAATACATATTTTCAACCTTACATGAAATGCATTTTATTTATTTTTGTTTAAATTCAGTCTATTTCAAGAAGGGGGAAGTTCTTAAGACTTCTGCAGATTCATATCAGATGAGTAGGTGCTCTCGTGCTGAACTTTGGAATTTGTGTCTACATCACTGAAAGCAATGAAAAGTTTTCTATTACCTTTATTAGGTTTCTATCAAATTAGAGATTCTTCTCCTGAGAAAAATCTGTAAATAACACTGAATAATTTGCAAACTAGGTAAAATCTGGGGTGTAACTGCACTTGTAACTAGCATGTAAATCCAGTGAAGTCTTGGGGGTCTACAGAGAGTAGCAAAATACCAAATTAGTTTCATGTTACCCAAGGGGTAACAGATCAAGATTGAATTCATTTCAAAGAAAAACATCCATTAAAATTTCCACTGCCCCACCCAAAACCTACTGCAGAATATGCAAAATTGTAATTGAAAATTATGCATTTCTCAACTTCCAAATACACAGAACACACTCAGTGAGAATAAATCCGGGATCATTGGTGATGATAAAACAAACTGATAACAGTTTGGAAGAATTCTGATATATTTGGCTATGATTAAATAGCATAACTATGTATAATCAAGCTACTTATTGTGGATATAATGTAAATGTAGTAACTTTTCTCCTTATTACTTGTATTTGCCCCACTGGGAATATAACGGAGTCTGAGATTGCAAACAAACTTTACCAGAACCTTTAACAGAAAAAAATGACTAAATTTTCTATAATTATATGGTTACTTTTGTCGTTTTAAATATTGTACTGAAGAGCATTGTATCTCCATCATTCAAGTGCAAGACACTTAAAATGGGTTAATTCAGTATAAGTTTCTTATTTAAACACTGTTCTCCTTTAGCTGCTAGTGTAATAGTCAGTTGAAATGGTCTAATATGGTTACTGTTACAAGGATAGTATGGCAAAATCTAAGTCAGTTTAATCCATTTCAACATAAAATAATGGCATTTTATGCCAATAGAATTTTTGTTTCTTTGTTTGTGTTTTGGTTTGTTTTAATTTTTTGTTTTGTTACTGGCGGTGTTAGAAATGGACCCAGACTAGTTCAGGTTACTGCAATACAGTTCTGTAGAAAGAATTAAGTGAATTCTTCTCATCACTTACTGGCATGGAAAATACAAAAAACACCATGTCACTTATGGTGTTGCAGCAGTGTTCACACCACATTCTTACCCTCTAATAATTTGTCATCCACAAAACTTAAGGCAGTCCACTTAACTCTGTTTGATTTTGAGCACAAATACTTCAGCAGATCTCCCATTCAAGAGCTCCTCAGTGCTCTATAATAATATTTTCACAGAAAATCAAGAAAGCAACTTTGGCTTTTCTTTGCTGTGAAAATGAGCAACATTTTAAGAATAGTACAAAGATAATAGGCTTTGGCTGTTGTGAACTCATTGATCTGCCTCTATCAAAGCCATGACATACAAGCTGACTATCAACACCTAATTAAGGAGCCCTCACAACTTTTCTCGAGATTAGAGATAATTCTCTTTGTCTTACATATGGGAAATAATATATTACTCTTTTGCAACAGTAGGCAAGTTACCCTTAAAAGATCATAGAAGATCACAGAATCATCAAGGTTGGGTCATCAAGATCATCCGGTTCAACTGTCAAGCCAGCACCACCACTGTAACCCCTAAACCACTAAACCATATCACCCAGCACCAGATCCAGATGCCTCTTTAACACCTCCAGGGATAGTGAATCCACCACCTCCCTGGGCAACCTATTCCAATGCCTGACCACCCTAACAATGAAAAAGTTATTCTTATTTCTAATCTGAATCTCCCTTCTCTCTGCTAAAGGCCATTTCCTCTGGTCCTCTCATGGCAGGCGTGACAACTATACTCTGTATTTGTACAGAGCAAGGAGGTCCCCCCTGAGCCTCCCCTTTAAGTAGCTCTTTACCTCACATTTCCTTGATTACAGAGTTCCCCTGAGTTCACTTTTTCTTGTTTCCACCTAAGCACTTTGTGCTAATTCTCAAGGTAATATTACGTGTAACTATGGAAGTTGTTTTTAGAGTTTTCATTTAAGTTACTGGCCATATCTCCTCTGCTTGGCAGAGTAGAGTAGATAGGCAGCTCCAGATGTCAGAGGGACCTTTGCTCCCAGTAGTAACTTCTACTACTCCCAAGTCAGTCAGTATGCTCCTGGGCAGAAAACAGAGATGAAAAACTGTATCTCCCATCACTAGTTCCTTGAACCAGCCAGGGTCACAGAAACAGTTCATTTTAAAGGAAAAAAAAAATTAATCATATTTATTACAAATGGAGCAAAATGTTTCTGATATATGAAAGACAAAGATAGTGTGGCCATTTGGGTTAGTCTTACTATATCCCAAATCGTCACAACACCTGCGAAAGTGAATTTATCAGCTCAGTGCAACCAACAGATTTAGTTTATCTGAATGTCTTACAAGGAACAAGTTGTTTATAAAGGGTTTTGAAGATTGGGGGAAATCTAGTATTCTACTGACATATGCTATTCTATTGTCATATGCCATGTATTTAATTTAATGCTGTGGTTCTGATGTCTTTTCTGATAAACTTTAGTGAAATCTATGCTAAGAAGAATGGAGCTGTTTCAGTATCTATGAGGTTTAAAATGCAGGGTTAGCAAAATGTTAATGGAAAAAATATTTATGTATATTCTTGCAATTGCTTAGAGAAGAATTTTGCTAAAGTTTATTGGTCTGTCAGTCCGGAATATTAAAAGTTTAGCATTTTTCAGATTTGTTGGCTTTTCTATAGTGAGAAAATCCTCTTAAAAAGTGATTAAATAGCTCAATTTTTTTTTTAGGCATATTGGAGATAACATCTGTAGAAATTGGAGTTGTGGCAGTTAAGTCTATTAAGAGCAACTACTATTTAGCCATGAACAAAAAAGGAAAAGTCTACGGCTCTGTAAGTACCTTTTTTACATTCCAAATGGGTTGCAGAAGTCAGCACCATTCCCTATCTTGACTACTGAAAACCCCACTTGTCTGTGTATTACTGCTAATTAGACCTGAAGTGAGCTGTTCATCAAAATTTCATTCTCTGATAAACCAGGATCACTCCTCTACACAAACTTCCTTTTGTTTGCTAAGCTCATATCATACCAACACACATTCTGGGATTTATTATACTTACTGCTTCAGTCACATTTCTTATTAAGGAGAGGTCAATGGAGATGGTCCTACAAAATGTACTCTTGAAGGCTTGTTTTTCATTTTTCTTCATTACAGTCACATTTAGCAGTAATTCTGGGAGGGATAAAGTGTACTTGCAGTCATGGAAACTTGAGCTGATCGAGTAAACACACCAAGTCATCAAACTACAACTTTGAAGATTTCTAGAGTAGCCAGCTTTAAATTGACTGTGTTAATTAATACAAAAGATTATGGGCAGTACAGAGAGACATGAACTTGTATATCATCAGATATGCTTAGTCTGAGCAGAATTTGGTTAACATTTGGAAATTTTCCATGTATACAATATTTTTATTTGTGTTAAGTTTGGGGTTACTGATACTTTCAGGGGGAAAAAACCAGACATGAAAACCACCCAAATAATCAAACAAACAAAAACAAACCAACCCAAGAAAACCCAGTAACTATCCAAATATTTTTAGTAGAGAGCAATATGATGTATAAATCTAACAACTAAACTCAAATGTATCCTCACACGTCTGCATGATTACACAAATACCAGATTCTTCCGGTATTACATCTGGTTTGGTTTGTAATTTTGCAATGTTTTGTCAGTTCCTGGAAAGGTTATGAGCCAATCTTCAGGTTGCTCAGTGTTCAGAACATCCATAGGCTTTGTAAACAGAAGGTCACAGATAGGAACTGGGTTTATCCTCAAGTGATGCGGTTAAGCCTCCTGCTTCTGCTGAAAATAACGAATTAATGCTAATCTTAAACTAAGACTCAAGGGGCTTGAAGCCATTTGGCCTTCATTTTTAAGGAAACACTTTTACCAGGTGGGTTGAGTTCATACAAAAAATAAAAACTGTCCTCCGTCATCTGCACTGTGGCTAGTCACTCCTGGTTCAAAAGCGACCTTCTAAACTCTGTGACGGTGTCAAAGAATTATGTTAAGGAAAGATCAGAACAAATAGATGTTTCTTAAACTCCTTTAAATGTACATTTTCACTTCTAAAATTACACTCTTCAGAACTACGGGATGATCAGGGCTTAGTCCTGCTCTATTGAGAGATATAACTGTGTCCTGAGTTATTCAGTATAGTCATTGTAGGTATGCTTCTGTATATAGGTGATCATTTTACCATAAGTCAACATCTTCAATTCACACGTCTCAGTTTACAGTGTGAAGTTTAGTCATTTGTGATGGGCCAACCCAAAGCCCAAGACAAGTTTTCTTGCCCAAGTTGTTTGTCATGGCTGCTATGGTGAGAGTCCATAACCCTGTATATGTACAGAAGAAGTCAAAGCAGCTTTCATGTACCGTAGGTGGAAACTGCTGCCAGAAGATTCAGTAATTCATAATGTATTAGAAATAGTGTTGACAGGAGGATACGACTGTGGAAAGCCTTTTCTTTAATTCCAGCTGAGATAATTTTTCAATATTCACATCATAAAATCACAGCATAATGATTTATCAAAACCTATTCCATAATACTTTAGCAATTTCAAGAATGCTTCTGTTATTATTTTTCCCAGACTCCCAAGATTTGCAGTTAGCCTCATATTACTACAGTGTGACAGCTTGCAGATGGATATGAATACCAGAACCAATAAAAATTGTAAAAACACTCTTGAGCATGTGTACAATAGACATTGGTGCAGGATTATGCTGAAATTTGTTTCAAATGAACAAGGCAGTCCTGAGTAGCACTCAGACCCCTGCCAATAAGACTTCTTAAGCACATCACAACATCATCTGTTCTCTCTCTATTGTCTAAGAATAGAGGTAAAATTTGGATCTGAGTACAATTCTGCATCTGGGAAAACAAGTTAAGTAAGACTTCTATGTTTACAAAATACTTTTCCATTTGACTGACTCTCGTTGGAACGAGGGACCAAAGGAAGACTCACTATTTGGTTTCTTTAACAAAATAAGCTGCCTGCAGATAGGAGAAATTACTACAGTTTAGAACTGTGATTGGTGGCGATCTGCCTTTTAAATACACACTCGAGGTGGCATATTACAGAAAATAAGTATTAAATTATCTATATAGCTTTGTGAATACAGGCAGTATCAGTAATCACTTTGTAGAGAGTCTTCCCTTGGTAGTGTCTTCCCCAGCAATCATTGTTTAAATAACTAGTAATCCTAAAGCTGAAGACCAATTGAGTTTGAATATGTGCATATATAAATATGAACACAATGCAATTCTGTTAAGTATGCGTTCTGTGATCTTAAAGGCAACTAAAACATTAATTATTAACACAAAATTCTTACTGTATCAAAGTACTGAACATTAATTAGTTTTAAAATTCTAATTAAAGTTAATAGGTATGGAAAATATATTTTCAATAGTCTTATATCCTTTTTATTAATGTGGATACTTTCTATATATGTATTACCTGAATATCTAGGGATGTTGATTGTAATAAAAGATACAGTGTTCCTGAAATTCTTGACTGTACCATGAAAATTGTTTTATTATTCAGATTTCTTTCTTGTCTTGTTCATAGATAAATTAAAAATAGTGCATGCACTTAGTATATCATACTCTGAGATTCTGACATGTTTCTGCCTGAGCTGTGAAATGACATCTTATTTTCTGAAATGCAGAAACAACAAAATGCTAATTTTTCATTTTAATTTAATTATGTTGTAGTCATTCCACTTTTAAAAGACCTCTAAATGGAATATAAGTAGTTTGTTAAAATTGGATGGATTTGTATGTAGGAATTACTTGTTTATGAAAACAAAGCATTCTTGGCTTCAGTATAGAAAAGTAGATCTGTGTAAAAGTGCATTTAACAACATGCTTCCACATGCTTGTATTTTTTATTCCTTCTAACAAATTGACAACTGATTCTCCTTTAAAGACAGAAAACCTTAATCTCTGGTACTATAGAAAAAACTACTTTCAAGCTGTTTTAGTCAATAAGATACAGGATCATACATGATTCTTTTTTAGGCTAAGCCCATCTTCAGGTAAACAAGGTAAAAAGGCCTCACATTCATTGTAATAGCAGCATAATAGTATTTGCACCCATCCAAAAAGCCTTATTTCATGATTAGTGTACTTTAAAGGATCTTACTTTAAATAAGAAGTACGGCTATGCCATACTTATTTGTTTAACATATGGTATCAATATCTTGTTCAATATATTTAAGGGTTATATTTGTTAGAACTGAAAGATGATTAATGATTTCAAGATTGCCTCCTTATACTTTTGAGTTTATGACTGAGAACTTGATTTAATATTGTTGCCATATTCTAACACAGAGAAATTTAATTTCAGCTCTGACTAAACTATATCATTTCACTGCTATAATTATGCACTGAGTAACTAATTATATCTTTTGTTAGTTTCACTTTTTGCCGTCTAACTGATTTTGCTTTAAATACTGTGGACACAGTGAAACTTTTATTTAAATACACTGCAGAATCCTAAAGGAGTGTCAGTGAACACTTAAAATCTTCAAAATATTTTTAGAAAGTATTTGCCTTCAGTGTGCTGCAATTCTGAAATGTTATGTTTGTTCTGAATTTGTGTATTTTTTTCCTCTTTTAACAGAAGGAGTTTAATAGTGATTGCAAATTGAAGGAAAGAATAGAAGAAAATGGATATAACACATACGCATCCTTAAATTGGAAGCACAATGGAAGGCAAATGTTTGTGGCTCTGAATGGGAGGGGAACCACAAAGAGAGGACAGAAAACAAGAAGGAAAAACACTTCTGCTCACTTTCTTCCCATGGTGGTCATGTCATAGATGAACAAGCTATTTCTTTGATGAAGCTGAACCAAAGACTGTTATGTCAAGAATATTTGGTAATTCTCTTAAAGGGTAAAAGCAGAGAAATAGCCCAGACATCTATCTGCATGTTTGAAATGAGAGCAGGGGAAGCCTTTGAAGGTTTTGTACTTATTGCTAGCACATGAAATACCTTTATTTAGTTTGTTGTCGTATCTTATAATCAAAATGCAAGCTGGATCAAAGGGGATGGAATTTATTGCCAGTGTGAACATTTTTTTTTTTTTTTAATCACTGCAACAGACCTTGATGGACATAAGACAATCTGTTGCGTGATCTTCATGGGGAATGCTATTTATGGAATACTAACTCATATCAAAGTCCTTAATTGCTCATTCAAGCCTAATGATTCAATGAACAGTTAGACACGCAAGCATTTACTGGAAGCACTTGGGTCATATGCACAAATAATGACATTTCTGGAGAAGCCTTTTGGAAGAATGGATAGGATAAGCAAAGTAGTATATAACTGTTCTAACAAAATGAATAGTATGGTTTGCTTGTATGTTCTAAATTTGTTTCTTTTTATTTCTCTCTAAGTTATTTATTTAATAGGATGTTAAATATCTTTTTTATTTGAAATATTTTCCTCATTTGCTTCTTTGTTATTTTCCCTTTTTCTTAGTACTTCACAGAGAGGTTGATAGAGTAAGATGTCAAAACCTCAGAAGTACTCTGAGAATAGGTATTAGACAAGGCTTTAAAGGCAGAATTTAAAGTGTATACTCCGTCTTTTTTCTAGACTATCTTGCACTTAAGCAAAAGACCAAACAAGCAGTGCTTGGATTTATGGTATTGGCTTCTTTATATTGGAGAAATTTTTGTAGTTATAAGCACTCAAGAACAAACTTCAAAAAATACTTTGTTCAAAGGGTCTTTCTGCTATTTTGAAATTGAGAGGAGGGACCACATCTGTACTTGGATGTCAATGCATCTGTGTGTATATTCAGCTGACTTTGATTTCAGTTTGGAGCTAGGATCTAACGCATCGCAATCAGCGTGATATTCTGTAGCACACATTGGGCTGGAACCTAGATGTGGACAGCCCTGTTACAGTCACTGAGATTACAAATGTTGAAATTAAACACTAGTGTGTAATTCCTAAGTATAACATTTGGCCTCTGAAAGCTAAGCAAGAAGGCAACACAGTCCTTCACTCCTTATTCAGATAATGCTCTCATTCACCTATTTGCCATTGGTACCAACTCGTAGAATCACATGCATATAGTGAGAGCAATATCTAATTCAGGACTGAGAGACAGAAGATCCAAAATCATGCTCATCCATTTTTCAGAGATTATTACTCACATGTATATTATATATGAGAGCCAACATGACTTTCATAACCATCACAGTAATTGAAGGCTCAAAACACATAACATCTAGCACATTTTTATGAAGTGTTACTAGTCCCATGGCTTAACTTGAGCAACTGCAGTATAATAAAGTTAAGCATAATATGAAGTCTGTTCAATTAAAGGTACATAAGGTTTGTTTTATGTTTTGCTTTACTCATTAATTTTAGAGAGCTCTGGATAGCTCACCATTGTAACCATATTGAGATTCATTTTGTTAGAGCAGATAAATAGAAAACAGTACATCAAACAATTTGTACCACTGTCTTCACCTTGTATTCCATTAAATAAATAAATAAGCCTTTGCAGTGTCTTTAGTAAGAAACAAAAGTAGTATAATGTTATTTTGTTTTAAATACTTTAAGTGATAACTATAAGATTATATTGATGCTGCAGTTTATCTTCAATATTTCTTGTTGTGAAAAAGTTGGTTTTATTTTTATTGTTTGGAGACTGTATTTTGGTACAAAGGAGAGCCTTGCTTAATGTGTCTTTTTGAAAATGTTTAACCTCTATAAAGCCTGGTGTTGTTGGAATCTTCTATAACTTATTTAAGTCAATGTTTAACCAGCACTCCAATCTTAATCTGTTATTTAAATATTAACTGGGGTTTTCTTTAAAAAAAAAGGCAAAAAAATGCTTCCCCATAAAATACGAAATGGTTATATTTCCTGTCCTTAAATAAAGTCAACTGTTTTAAAACTAGGAATTCATTGAGAGACAACATATTTTTAGTTAATAGCTGATGCTGTATTGCATGGTACTTTATCTCCAGATTTCTTCTTCACAAATGACATTTTTCTAGAAAGAGAAATAAGAATTTCAGATTCTAAAGATAGTTGCAGCTCACAGCAAAACAATTACTATGATAAAAACGAACTTCTGTTGTTTAAATTTGTAATCGGTAATTAAAACTGACAAGTCATAGTGGACCACCAATCTTCATTATGAGCTTGAGTGAATGCAGTATTGAATGACCTCTTAAAGAACATTTAGAGTACAAATGAAATTCTCTTCAGACAGAATTACCTAGATGACTTGGTCAGGGGAGGATTATGCATAAATATTATCATAGTACTTAAAACACTATGCTGCTCAAACGACAAGGTCAGAAAATATCACGTTTCCAAAGCGAGTCAGGAGCCATTTCTGAGATGAAAAGTGGTTTCTGAAAATTAAACAAAATGAAAAACGCTTGAAGGAATCAATGATTCCTGTGTGTTTGGTATACTGTAATACCCACTGTAGTGGGAGCAAACTGCAGACATTAGAGTATCCCAAATCCTCAAACATAAGCTCTGTTTTCTGTCACCCTCAGCATAACACTCCTGAGTAAAATGAAAACAGGGAAAGGGGTTTAGAAAAGAAAAGGGATACAAAAAATCACTGAGCAACAATGTATAGTATGTTATATTTAAATAAAAATAATAAAATGTGGGGATTAGAGAATAAAAGCATTGTCTTTGTTTGTTTTATTAATCTGAAATTATACTGCACAATAAAAATAAAAAGCTAAAAGATCTGTTGTACTACAGGCTGTGGTTTCATGCTGTATAGGCCCCAAACAAAACAAAAATCACTTGAACATGTCTAAGTATTTTGAATATTTTGTATGTGTGAGTCCACTATCTCTACACTAGTAACAACCAAATGCTTCAGATTCCTCCTGTAAGTATTTGAATCCACCTAGTTTTATACAGTGGAATAAAGCAATGAATTTAGAGGAAGCATATATTTGATGAAAGAATGAAGGGTTTAGGAAGAAGAGCATGTATTCATATTTTTAAAGTAACTTTAGATATGGAAAAATAGTTACATTTTATATAAGACTTCATGCAAAAGACATTTCAGGTTATAAAGTTCACTAAAGTTTAGTAAGCTTTAGAAGTATATGAGCACAACTTTGTAATTCCTCCCCTCCTGAAACTGATTGTCTCTATTCACACAAACAGTCATAATGAAGCATGGTGAATCTCAGGTATCTGATACATATATTTTCACTTGCTAATCCCAGAAAAAAAAAGAAAAGTAATATGTCTTTTGTCCACCCAAACAGTGTATGAAAATATGCTCCTGTGGAAGCTGAAATAAAGGAACCATGACAAAACCTCAATTAATTATATGAGAGCAGTGATCTCTGAGTTACTGCGGTATAAATGAGGAGAATTTCCACTCCTGAAAATCTGCACCAGGATCTTTAGTGGTGCCACCTTATGCTATTTAGTTAAGGTGAAATAGAATCATAGAGTCATAGCATCATAGAATATTAAGGCGTTGGAAGGGACTTTAAAGATCATCTAATCTCAAGCCCCCTAGCATGGGCAGGGACACGTCCCACTAGACCAGGTTTCTCAAGGCCTTATCCAACCTGGCCTTGAACACTGCCGGGGATGGGGCATCCACAACTTCTCTGGGCAACCTGTTCCAGTGCCTCATCACCCTCACAGTAAAAAATTTCTTCCTTATTTCTAAGCTGTATTTCCCCTCTTTCAATTTTTATCCATTACTCGTTGTCCTATCACTACAATTTCTGATGGAAAGTCCCTCTCCAGCTTCCCTGTAGGCTCCCTTCAGATACTGAAAGGTTACTGTGAGGTCTTCATGCAATCTTCTCTTCTCCGGGCCGAACAGCCCAACTTTCTCAGCCTGTCTTCGTAGGTGAGCTCTCCAGTCCTCTTATCAACTTTGTGGCCTCCTCTGAACTTGCTCCAACAGTTCCATGTCCTTCTTATGCTGGGGATACAAGAATAGTGTGCAGTATTCCAAGTGGGCTCTCACAATTGGAGAGTAGAAGGGAGGAATCACCTCCCTTGACCTGCTGGCCATGCTATTTTTTATGCAGCCCAGGATTTCATCAGCTTTCTGGGCTGCAAGCACACACTGCCAGCTCATGTTAAGTTCTTTATCAGCCATCACCCCCAAATCTTTCTCCACAGGGCTACTCTCAATCACTTCTTCACCCAGCCTGTAGGTGTGTCTGGGATTTCCACCACCCACATGTAGGATCTTGCACTTGGCTTTGTTGAACTTCATGAGATTTGCATTGTCCCACCTCTCAAGCCTGTCAAGGTCCCCCTGGATGGCATCCCTTCCCTCCAGTGTGTCGACTACACCACACAGCTTGGTGTCATCAGAACTTTGCTGAGGGTGCACTTGATACCACTGTCAGTGGGTAATCACACATGTAAATGGATAAATGGATATGCTGGTGGTGATATCAGAAATACATGTCCTATCAGACCAACGTCGAAATATGAGGCTATGAGAATTGCAGTATCTGAAAAAAACTCACATAAAGTACCCAACTGTATAGTTCTGTGCAAAATATTTAGGGGACTGATACTGATATAGGTAATTTATCACAGTATAATAAAAACAAAGTCTATATTTACATCAAAGCTCAGACTCTTTAGTTATCTTGTGATAATGTAATAAATGAAGAATCAAGATATTACAGGGTTTTTGTCACTACGGAAAAGTAAAGTGTGTGTACCAAGTTTCAGACGACTACTATTTAACCATTCAAACTATTCTATGACTTTGTTGAAATTGTATGATTTTTTTGATAATGCACCTGTTTTACTAATTTCTTAATGAACTTTTAACCCTTTCAGTTGCTACGAGTCTTTGCAGAAGTCGAGTTAAACATTGATCTTCTCTTGCATCTGCACTTGTTTTCTAGATATAAATAGTTAAAAAAAAAAATCAACATTTGATGTTGTACATGCAGGAACTTGACTTTTTCAGTGAGTGGAATGAAAAATGAACCTCTCTGCTACATTATTTTCAAAATGCCAGCTAATTTGTATACTTTCTACCCTTAGAATACTCTTGAATTCTCACTTGCCTGTGTTTTCAAAAATGTGCATCACTCATACTACTCTATGCAGTGTATGTCCAGTTATGCTTATTTCCTGTGATTTCTTCCTTCTTTGCCATATAACAGCAAGATTCATAAATGGTTCACTGAGGTAGCTCGCACTACTGGTGTCTGCAGTACACTGTCATTAATACCAAAAACATAAGACTCTCATTTCTCATTCCATGTAGAATGACACAGAGATCTGATGATACAGTAGTGTTTTGATAACCCTTTGCTGCCTTGAAACTATGCACATACTTACTAGTAAACATGCAAATTAGGTTCAAAAGTTAAATATGCATTGCGAGGATAAATTAGGTTAACAGCCCCTGTGTACATGATACATTGCAAATGAAAATATATGTTCTGGCTTCTTTCTTTTTCCATGGTTCACTCAAGGAAAGGGAAACATAAGGAAAGGATATGGCATTAGTATTTACAACCTTCATTGCTTTTCTTAAATGGTAGGCAATACATGACCTATCCTGGTATCTGACTGAATCTTATTTCTGTGATGAAATATGATGAAGATGTTGACAATCTTGTAAAGGAAGGATCGGTCTCTTTCTCTTCCTTATTGTCAACCAGTACAACTCACCAAGTGCTACTGATATAGCATGCAGTTTGTGCTCACTTAAATATAAATTAAGCTATAAGATTCCAGCTTTGGAAGAAGAGATATGGCTCTGCTTATCATGTTAAATGAGTACTGTATCCTTTGCCTGACAGAGACAGATAAGATTTAATCCATTCATTTATTTAACTAATTGCTTCTTAAATGCTCTGAAGTGAACGATATACTGTCAGAGAAAAGTCATGCTGATAGCCGTAATTATTACATTTCTATGGTAATTAGGAGATGCAGTAGGAAGGTACAGTGTCAGAATGGTTAAAGAGCTTCAATACAAAATCCTGCAGCAAGGTTCAGCCTATATTCATACTGAAAGCCAGCATCAAGTTGTAAATGAATGCCTGAACCTCAAAACTGTGGAAGCCATACAGAAGCTGTGGTTGGCCCTTTGCTGCCCTTACTGCTCTAGTGTCTTAACCATGCTCCACATAAAAGTCACAACAAACTTGAATCTGATTCCATGTACAGATGTATAATGAAACAAAT